GGGGGGGGGGAGGGGGGCGGCGGGGAGAGGGGGGCGTGGCATCAACTCCCTGCGGACTCAACCCCTTGCCGGGTCCTTGTCACCCCAGGAGGAGGCCCATCTGGCCCACTGTTCCCTCTGAGAACCCCGATTTCAGTTCCTGAGCTACAGGGCCTGGTGTTAGCCACCTCGACCCCTTCCCTGGGGGAGGCGGCGATGGCCCCTTTCTTCCTCCCCAAGAGCGGCCCTGCTCCCATCAGCCAGTCTGAACAAAAGCACAGACTCCGCTTCCTGTCAAGGGGGCCCAGGCAGCAGTTTCTGGCCTTGGCGAGGAGGCACAGGCGCATCCCATGGGGGGGCCTCTGGAGCCCGCCTGCCCTCCGTGTGTCTGTGCCCGGGAGGGCGGTGATCCTGGGCACTTGGCCTGCAGCTCCGAGCCCTCCCCCATCTACACAGGGCCTCTCCTCCGTCCCCTGTGCTGTCATTCTCAGACTCTCTCCAAACATCTTAGAGCAGGGAGGGGATGCAGATGTGTCTGTCTGAACCCACCTAATTTGGGAGGGGTAACGATCCCACGTCTGGCTGGCCAGGCCTGCACGTGAGGTCAAAGTGAGACCTGAGACTGGTACACATCTGCATGGGGTATGGAACGATTCCATTTAGAGAGGAGGTGGTGGTGGCGGCCCAGAGAGGTCAAGAGACACGTCTAATGTCACGGAGCACATCATAAGCTGGACTGGAATCCAAAGCTTCTGCCCCCGGTTCAGTGTTTTCCCTCCAATCCAGGCTGTGGCCCCATCCCCAGGGACCTTTCCCCACCTTAACTTCTGACGTGCGACTGGAGGAGCCAGGGCCAGGGCCTAAGAGAGGCCACTGGGAGTACTTGCCATGCCCTTAGTATGCCTAGGTGTGTGGGGGACAAGGAGGAGGAACTGAAGAGAGAGGCCTATCCCTAAGGAACCTTGGAGACAGACCGAGGGCCTAAAGCCACCTGGAAGGCCCATATGGGGACAGCTGGCCCTGAAGTGGGCCACCGCGTGGTGTGTCGGGGGGCAGAGTAGGGCCCAAGTGCCAACACAGAGCCCAGGCGAGGCATGGGCAATACAGGCAGTGGACCCAGGGGCTGGCAAGGCTGCCAGAAAATGGCAGGGTATGGGCTGGCCCAGGAGCCATTGAGCAGCAGATGACCTTGAGTGAAGGAGGAAGGCAGGCCGGTGGGTGGTATGCGGTCTGGAGCCACAGCAACACTGGGCTGCCTCATCTCCAAGAGGAGGCTGGGCATCGGCCGGCGGTGGGCCCCGGGGCCTGGGCAGGAACACCCGCCCAGCAGAGTTTCGGAGCGATTCCTGTCCCCACGTGAGGATTGCTCACAAGTGGCCCACCTGGCAGGAGTGAATTCACAGCCAGGGCAAGGCGGGGCCACCAGCTGCCCAGACCAGCAGCCCCGAGGGCTTAACAACACTGCCCGGTGAGTGGCTCAAGGAAGGAATGTCTTGCGGGCAACCTCACCACCACCCAGTCAGGGAGGGGGAGTCCAATGGCCCTGAGAAACCCAGGCCGGGCGGGGGTGGGCAGTGAGAGGCCTAGAGAATGCCTCCTGTGCCTATCTTCTGGGATCCGGGCACCGGGGGCTGGGACTGTTCGGGGCCAATTGGAGATACAGCTCTCCTCCCATTCATGTCTAATACTGGGGCACACCCCACCCCCACCAAGACTCGAACCCAGTAGGAACAGAGCCCACGAGAGGGAGAGTGTGGAGGCAGGCCTTGGAGCCGTGGGGCCAGCTCTGGAGAGCCAGGGGGTCCCCATCAGTGTCTCCATAAAGCCGTACTCCCTCCACAAGGCTGGGAGTGGGGAGTGGAGGCTCTGGTTTGGGGGCCATTGGAAGCAGAGGGATCTGACTTTGGATGGCCATGCCCCAGAATCGGTGCTGGGTTCCAACAAGCACACTGCATCCTGTGGCAGATCTAGAGCCCAAGGTCCCTTCTGCCCCTCCCGAGGGGCCGTCAGAGCTGTGCGTGCCCTAGGTGGGGAGGAGACTCTGCTTTATTTGCCATTAACCCCCAATTGGGAATCAACTCCCCTTGTCCCAGTTTGCCTTCTAGAAAAGCCCACTTTCACCTCAGACCTCAAAGCAGAAAAGCCCAAGTTGGGGAGGGCAGTGTGGACGCTGCTCCTCTTCCCCCCCCCCCCCCC